ATTGAAATTTAAACTTTAATCTAAATCAAAGTTAACAATTAATTGTAGTAACATATTTTCATGAAATTCATTACTATTTAATTTGTACCAAAATTTACTAAAAAATTGATTTTAATTTCCACCAAACAGTGATAAAATAAAAATAAATTTGAATTTCGAAATATACAAATTTTAAAAATTCTCCAACGATCGTATGCTAATTGAATCTACAAATTATTTGTATCATTTCGAACTTATTTTAAGAATTACATTATGGACATGTTAAATAGTTCAAACATATATCGAAAATAGTTAAAAATACGTTAAACGTGAACCTTTAAAAAAAGTCTTAACTCGCATTTTTTTTTAAAAAAAATCAATTATTTCATTAATATTCATTATTTTTGTGATACAAATTTCTCAATATAATTTTCATCATTTTATTAGGAAATTTTCAAAAAATTTCAAAATTTTACATCCGAAAAAGTCATATCTTATGTAAATTTTTAGATGTAAAATTACATGGAGTATGATTTTTATGGACGTAAATTTTCGATTGTGCCCCCCTACGTTAAAGTTCTGCGTCCGCCCCTGTCCATGATGAAATATCAGCGGTCCACTTGTTCACAGGCATCAATTTGTCAATACCCAGACTGCTCCAGTGGGGGCAATGAAACTCATCAATTGTCTATACATTTCAGTTTTCAATGGCTTTTTCAAGCAGTAGGAAATTCAACAGTAGTTAAAAATGATGTAAAGCTACAAGAAACTGGATCATATTAGTTAATGGCTGACATAAAATTCTTCCATAAATATTGCTAATAGTATCAAACTATCAATCAACCTATCTCACAGACGAAACAAAGGCTCGACATAATCACACCAAATCAAAACTAAAATACAGATTTTCTGAACTCGCCGTGCTATTAATCCAGTATTCCTATTTGATAAACATAAAGGAGTTTAAATCCATTGGATCAATATTCACACTCCATATAATAGTGCAGTATAAGTTTACTTCTAGTTTGGACCATTCCCAGCTAGTGTTCATGTATTCAAACTTAAGTACTTGATAAATAATGAGAAGAAAGGATAAACAAACCTGAATGTATTACTTGAAAGAGTCCCGGTTATCCTTTCAGTAAAAGGCAGCAGACAGCATTGAAGAGGATCAACCACTTCTCCGTCACCTGCATTTCAGAGAACTAATACAATGGCCGACCATATGTTTGCAAGCTACACCAGTTATTCAAATGATGTCACACGCCGGCACAACATACAACTATCGTGTGTTAATGAACAAGTACTAACAATCATAAGCTACGCCAGTGTCAGGAGCTTCTCCCCATGTCTTTGCCAGAAAATTCTCCACCACCAAATGCTGCTGCTGCTGCAGCAACGTCGAGGCCATCGTTGATGGATTTCATTATAGCAGAGAGCCCACCAGTCTGGCCACCGCTGGCAGCCATCCCTAATCCAAGAAGGTCGAGAGTGGCGTGCTTGGGACCAAAAACTGATGGAGTACCCAACATCAATTCTGTCAAAGCAGACCCCCCATCACAGGCCAGTCCAAGTCCAAGTCCAAGACCAAGACCAGATGCTAATGATGCTCCCTCGGACTCAATTTCTTGCCTGCCCCATCTCTGGGGCTCGCTTGAAGGTGACAAAGAAGATACTAGTCCAAGCCCCCTCATAACTGATGCATTTGATGCAGCTACCCCCACCTGAGCAGCCTTTTGAAGCAATGCCGTGGCAGACATTGCAGGCTGCGGTGTTCGAGTGTACTGCCTGCACTCTTGTTCTGCTGTTTTAAAAATTGCAGACCCTTGGTTCATTGCAAGACGGAGAGATATAGGTTCAGAAGATGTACAGAGTGCAATATCAGACGTCTGCTTAGGACGAGCCATGGTTTCGAATAAACCGGGAAATCTGGTTGCTCGAGATTGCAAATTTCCAGAAGAAGTTGATGAAGCAAATAAGCTGGCAAAAACATTACAGTTTGTACTACCGATACTGCTGGAAAGACTGTTGCTGCTATAATTTGCAGGCGAGTCGGATACTGTGGATGTCTCCTCCAAAATTTGGGTAGTAGTTGAATTGTAACTAGCACTTTCAGGCAATTCTGTGGAGATAAACAACATCAAGAAGAAAATATTTAGTTAATTGAAACTTGACAGAACTAAACAAGCAAAGGGACTTTGTAAGAAGTTAAAAGATAATCAGAAAATAGTATCATTTTCAACTTTCTTTGCTTAATTCGAAATTGCTATGTATTATTTGTTTATATTCAATGGACTTCTAATTATTTAAATATATAGCACTAGTTCTTGCACGTTCAAATCACAGATCAGGTAGTCTAACACTATTTGCAGATAAAAACAAATGTCACCAGCAGACAATAAAAAACAAATAAATTCCAAGATGAAGGACGGAGAAACGACAAAAAATTTTGGTTTGGTTTGTAGAACTAATACACATAGGATAAAATCCAAATCTGAAACTAAAAAATCCAATTTTTGGTCAAAGTACCTAGATTCTGAAGAGGAAGAACAGGGGACACCACAGCAGTGGAACGTGGAGGTGTTGGTGATGAAGCCGGTGGCGGTAACGGTGTTGGTGTTGGTGTTGGTGGTGATGCCACTTCTTGGGGTGGTGGAGATGGCATAACAGTTTGAATTTTTGGATCCTCGTCAGCACTAGGAGGTGCCAGTGCTGAATTCTTTTTTGCACTCTTCCCTGCTAATGCATCACAAAAAGCCATGTGTGTAACGAAACTATCCCTCCTGCATAACAAACAAGTCGACATCAACTCCAAGGATCAAAAATCACTTCTACAAGAGTCGTCTATAACGTACACAAGAAAGTTCGAAATTTGGACCTCAAAAACAAAGTCCCACAATCACATTTATACTCTCTTGATCCACATATCTTCGAGTGTGCCTTCCAATCAGATTGAACTGCATAGTTTTTCGAGCACTTCTCACATTTCCACTTCTTTTCACCATGTTTTCTGCAGAAATGCTTCTTGATCCCGGTCAAATCGCCCAGTGCCCGTGAAGGATTGTGGTGAATGCAGCCAGGTTCGGGGCACACGTAGACTCTTTTCTTGACTTCTTGACTTGATCTCTGTCTAAGCTTCCAAGGCAAATTATGACCCCTCCTGTGAAGCTGCAAATTCTGATCTCTTTGAAACCCTTTATTGCAAATTTCACACACAAACCGATTCGTAGCCAACAAAGTCTTTGGTGATAAAGCAATCACCTCCGCATCAGGATCTAATGAAAATTTCCCACAAATCAAAATTACATTATTTTCTTAATTCAATAGTACTGGATAACGGGAACTAATCTTTATAATTTTACCTGGCATTCCGGGGAGATTTCGCTTTTTCTTGGCAGTTAATTTTGGAAGGGCGGTTTGATTACCGGAAGAAGAGTCCCCAGAAGCTGTGGAATTATTCATGGCGGAAAAAGCTATCTTAATAACTTGGCATGTGATGACGAATTTTTACGATTTCTGTTCTCCTGTGTGGCTATAAAGAGAAACATCTAAAGGGCATTTAAATTGAGGAAATTTGAGCATTGGAAAAAAATTCTCTCTTTATATGCTCTGCCAAATATGGTAGCCAACCACCAGTTTATGACGAAGACCCAGAATAGAAAAATCAGCGGATTAACATAACGTGCTAAATAAAATTATGGAAAAATCCCAAGAAAATGGATCGCCGGCAGTGAAAGGTGAAAGTAGTTGAATTTCTTAATTCATTGAAATGGGGTCTGGATAAAAATGGAAGAAAGAGAAACTGCAACCAGAAATAGAGTTTGTAGAACACAGGATTTAAATCTAGCAATGGCTACTTTAATGTTCAAGCGTTCAATTTCATGTAAACGTAACTTGAGAAAATAAGGCAGCAGGTGGCGGCACGACGGAGAAACAGGTCGGCGACGCAAAAACTTATAGAGACGAGAAATTTGGGTGAACAGAAAGAGAGTGGGTGCATGTGGACGTGTCTGCGGGTGCACAGTCTTCTTCGTTTGGGGTTTCACTTTTCTGAACCTAAAAACATCCCGAAATTTAATGAAAAATGTCACATTCGAAAAATATATTTTTAAAAATGACTTCTCATTAAAAAATAAATAAAAATTTCGCTTTAAATTTGTGTGGTTGAATCTCTATTGAAATTTGTCAACTTGTCCTACATTTCTTATCTTTGAAATTAATCGTGCCCTACAATTGACTTCTTTTGAGAAAATGAGCTTTTGCATCTCTTGACCGAAAGGTTCAAACTCAACATCAATTAGCCTTCATTTATTTTTAATATTTATCTAGGACATTTTTGAAAAGTTGTAAAACACTTGATTTTTGATGTTAGATTCATAAAATTTTGTAGGGTTACAAAGATGGAAACGGTCGAGTCAATTCGACTCGACTTTATACATATCTTTCTCGAAATTTCATGTTTCAATCAGGATTTCAATTTGAACCGAAATGAATATACAATCACAAATTTTACATTTAATTTCACTTATCATAAAGAGATGAATCATTGTTTTGGAATGCACTTTGCTATACATAGTATCAAACTATTTATCGTGTTGGGAAGGAAAATGGTGGTCCCCTTAACATTTTATGGATAGGCATGCCTAAACCGAGTAACCAACACTGTTTTTTATCATTCATGCTATATGTACATCTTTGTTAATATTAAATTCGACATTGTTATGAGGTGACTGTTTTTCACACATTGATTTTAACACTTTAAATAATCAATGGAACGGATTTTGACAACACATGAAATGTCAAACTTAATGTACACCAAGTGTGTACAACTGGTTTAATTCCTTTTTTATCACCCCCTCGTTCAAAAGGGTCGCTTCAACTATCAAAATAAACTATACATAGACATGTATGTACATATTTGTCGAACCATGGAGTGAGTTTAAGTCGGTCTATTCTAAGACTCCTTATCAAAATCACATTAATATTTTTCTATTGATACATGAGAACCCCTTTGGGTCGGGGAAAATGAAGATCGATCTAAAATTTTGATAACGACTAAAATCTAAATAATGACAAAAATTAAAAGACGTAACATAATTGAAGATTAAGCTCCTCCTAGTGATTTAAAGTGCAAGAAAATAATTAAAAAATAACAACGTCCGTTCCCTTATTCTAAATGTATGATCGAACTGCATCATTCTCTTCCAGTTGGAAAAGATTAGTCCTCGAATCTTGCATCTTCATCCTATATCAGCACAATTAACGCATAAATTTTATCCATGGTATCTTGATTCGAAAAATCTTGAGCATCCAATAAAGTTACTCCCAACATAATAGATTGACTTCTGTTTTGTTGCTCAATAATTCTCCACCTAACAATTTGAAAGAAATATAAAGGTACAATTGTTCATTGCGAGGTTCAATCTCAAAACATGCCCAATGCAAAAAAAGCACACCAGAATTGTGATGAAGTTCATTAAGTTTGATTTTATCTTTTCCTTTCTTACCATATTCCAGCAAAATATTTGTAACATTTTCCTTAAATTTCATCGTGACAAATTCCCCGAGCCACTCCTTGAGGATCTCAGTTCCGGTATCTTCATCGAAAAGTGAAGGACCATCGTAATTGTCATCATCTAAATTCGCAAATTCTTCTATCTCTTTGTCAAGTATTGAGGGATCATTGTAATTCTCACCTGAATCAACGTCCATCCACTTCTCTAAATCGGATGGAGCAAAAAGGGTATCGTCATACAACATTCGTACCATCAAGTTTCATGAATTTCATGAAGTAGTTAGTAAGGATGACAAAAAAAAAACTTGTTCAACATGATACCAGCAGAGCCCCGCCTTGAAAGGGACATGATTACTCTCTTAACGAGTTAAACGAGGTTGGGCCGGGCCGGGCCGGGGATCATTTTCCTAAAGTAGGAGGGTACAGGAAACATAATTTCAACTTCACTATCCGCCCCACTAAAAGTTAATTTCAAATTTAAGATTTTTATCAAATAAAAATAAAAGATTTATCTTCATTTTTAAAGAGAACATAAGTTGTTTTTAACAAATTGGAAAAAAAAATATTTATTATCTAAAGACATAAAAAAATAAAAGCAAAAAAATAAATAATAGACATGATGAGAGTGAGAATGACCGACCCGTCTCATATCCGTCATGTTGCCATACTTAGTAGTTGGGTTCTAATACTATTTATTGTAGGTGAAATCATAAAAATAATAAACAAACACGATAACGAAGTTTTGTTGATTTTAGCCCTCATTTGACCCCATTAATTAGGATTATAATTTTTGGAATGATATATATATATATTTTTAAGAATGTGTAGTTAAAAAGGAAGAAATTTTTTTGAATTTACGTATAATATTATTTTATTGGAGAATTTATGATTTATAAGAAAAGAAAGAAAAATGAATTATAATTTTAAACGGGTCGAATTGGGGCTTAAATGAATAGTGCAACACTATCACCTTCCATCTTTTGTTAGTTCGTAAGAATACCAAAAAATTATATGTCAAAAACTCTTTAATTCGTATATTAATACAGAGAATTTGAACTCGTTGAGTTCAACTATCAAATCTCGTGAATTTGAGATTATTGAAAACCTTCAAACTCCATAATACCTATTCAAAACAGCCGATCACAACATCCCTTATTTAAAGCAAGGTAATGATAATGACTAAAGTCTAGATAATTTCGGAAATTAAAAGATAATGATGAGAATTAAAAATTACAATACATAATTAAAGATTAAACGCCTCTTAATGACTTAAAGTGTCAGATAATAATTAACAAAATAACAAGATTCAATTCTTCAGGGCATGCTTGGGAGTTCCGCGAGTAGCGGTTATGATCGTTTTTTAAAGTACCCTTTTTGAACGTTTATGAACGGATCGATTATAAGTGGTTTTAACGGTTTTTAAAATAGCCTAACCCATGTTTGGGAGTTTATTATTTACCGATTCTGAAAGTTTTTATAAAAAGTAAAGTTACATATATGTCCCTAATGAAATTTTGAGTTTCTGGTTTCTTCTATGAAATTTTTTACTTAGGCACCGTTTGGTAACTATAACAAGATTCAATTCTTCAGGGCCTGCTTGGGAGTTCCGCGCGTAACGGTTATGATCGTTTTTTAAAGTACCCTTTTTGAACGTTTATGAACGGATCGATTATGAGTGGTTTTAACGGTTTTTAAAATAGCCTAACCCATGTTTGGGAGTTTATTATTTATCGATTCTGAAAGTTTTTATAAAAAGTAAAGTTACATATATGTCCCTAATGAAATTTTGAGTTTCTGGTTTCTTCTATGAAAATTTAATGAATTATTCAATTATACGGGACAAACCATGTGTAATAAAAAAAGTAAGAGTAAGAAGATGAGTAAAAGTTGGTGTGTAAGAAGTTATTTTATTATAAAAAGTAGTGTAGTTATTGAAAAGGAAATAAAAATTGATGTGTAAAAGCATCAATCTACTATTTAATAATACATTTTTTCAAAAGAATGTGTCTCAAACACACTCTATATTTTACTTATATGTATTTTTTTTTTACGTATAAGTTAATATTTAACTTAAAAAGTTAAATAAAGTTAAATATTTATTTAAAATATTATATTAGTATTTCTTAGTTATGTATAAAATTTATAAATTAATTTTGTATTTTTAAATAATTTTTACACAAAAATAATTTTTTACTTATAAGTAACTTTTTATATTTTATAAGTGATTTTTTGTCTCATTAGTAAAAATTTTACGCAATTTTTATTTTATTTTATCTTATGAGTCATATTTACTTGTAAGTAAATTTTTTATTATAATATATTTTTTTTGCTTGTAAATAAATTTTTTAGTTAGTATTTTTTTATAAGTTAGTATTAAACAATATATGCTTGTTAGAAATAATTATGTTATAAAGGGTAAAATTAGAAGAAAAATTGAGAAATGATAAAAAACCGTCGATTTTATGGGTTAAGATAATCTGTCAAAATTACATTACACAATTTCTGGATGATTTTTAAACTATTCAAAATCGGTGCCCCAAAAAATCTTACAAGCACTGGCTCTTTTAACACATTATAAACTGTGTCATCCAAAATCGATCAAAATCTGTGAAAATAGAACTCTCAAGAAGGCCCTTATTTTAGAGTGTGTTTAAGCCACATTTTTATTCAAGAATGTATTTCGGAATAGTAGAATAATGGAGAATGTGTGGTTAAAAAATAAAAATAAAAACAAATTGAATTTATTATTTTATTGAAAAATATGTAATTGAAAAAAAAAAGATAGAAAAATATATTTTTAAAAATAATAGGGATCAAACACTAGAAAAATGATGGATCCGCATCAAATCACATCAAACACCATTATAGCAAACAAATCACATCAAACAACCACCAGAATATCTGCTAACTTAAGGATTCAAAGCTGGAAGCATAGGATTCGAATTAG